ACGAGTTTTCCCAGCAGAGCGCCCTCGCCCGTCCGACCGTTGCGCACGTACTCCGCCGCGTCGTCCTGGGCTAGCGGGATGCTCGCCCAAGAGAGCCCGAGTGTCTGCATGGCGTCGTTGAGGTGGTCCATCCTGTCATTGATCTTTGCGACGATCCGGACGGAAGCTGTCATCGCGCCCATATCAGCCTAGTGACAGCCGAGCGAGGAGCGAGATGATGCGTGGACACTCGCCACCCTTCATTATCTTTGCCGGAAAATGTAGGGTAGACTCTGTTTACGCAGAAAGCCCGATGAGACTCTTCGCAGAAGAGTCGGGCTGCTTCGACAGGTCCGACGGACACTTTGTCGTAGAGTCTGGTCCGTCCACCTACAAGTGGCTCGACACGGTCCGCGTCGAGACATTCCGACGAGACATGGCCAGGAACAAGCGGTCGAGCAGGATGGCGCCTCTTCTCCTCAAGCCTTCGGCCAAACGCAAGGCTACGACGACGGTGGTCGTGCACGAAGAGCCTTACAGCATCAAAGGCTTCGAGTCGAGCATGTACGACATTCGGTGCTTCATCTGTCTCGGCTGGGACCAGGGCGACGTGAGTAGGTTGGTCTGCAATGCCCCGGTGCAGCGGTGCCAGTGTCGGACCTACCTATGCACCTCGCACACACTCGATCCTCGTTTCGAGAGCTATTGTGTTACTTGCAAGAAGCCAGCCTCGACCGTGCCGGATCCGACCGCCACGGCGCTACTAAAAAGCACCGCCCTCGTCGAGTGTACCAGCCCCCAGTGCCCGGAACTGGTCACGGTGAACGACATGGAGTCGCACCTTCTGTCCCAGTGTCCCTTCAACCTGATCCGGTGCGGCGAGCCCGGCTGCTCCGTCAGGTGAGGGACTGGCTTGGACGCGGTGAACTGGGCTGGACAGGCGCCGTCTGAGTGATGCTGCCCGCAACGGTCTATGACGATTCTCGGACGGACATAAAGACACGGCGCTTCCCACCCCGCAGGTACGCCCATAAGGACAAAGACGCTCACGCGCGAGCCTGCGAGTCCATCAGCTGCAGATTTGCGCTCGCTGCTCCGGACGGTACGCAGCTGGGGTGCTCCTGGAGAGGCAACAGGAGCGAGAGATACTCCCACGCCTGCCCGATCGGGACGCCCCAGCGCTTCGGTCTCATCCGCGGCTGTTACGACTATTTGATGCGGGAGATCAAGGCGAGGGACGACACGATAGCTGCGCTGAATGATGTGAGTGCTACAATCTAATCATTTTCCGTGTCCTTTGATGATGACGAGAACCCGTCGTGACTTCCTTCCTCCAGCTCGACGGTCACGACAGGTTATTGAGACGATAACTTCCCTTCTTGCTTTTTTTTCAGGCGTCAAACGACGACGAAGACAGCTGGAGGTGGATTTAGTGGAACCAGGGGTCTAGGGAGGCGCGAGATACGCGAGGAATCGTATAGGGACGCAACGGATCATCCGCTTGCTGATAGTTCTGATGAATCTGACGGCCATAGCCTTGCCACTCAAACTCTCTTCGCATCACGTACTCGCCGTGGGCATGATGTTATGGTCGCGTGCACTCCGTCGCCCTTCGTCGCAAGGCACGGCGCTCGGTCTCGGCTGGCGATTATGAGTGACGCATGCACTTACTTGGTTCCCATGATCAGTCCGTACTGATGTTCGTCTGTGGCGACCAATATACGGAAGCGCCGTCACTCTCTCGGTGAGGACTTCTGAGAGAGGACTCATGTGGCTCCTACGACCCGTGTCAGAGGCGCGCTCAACCTGCTCGCTCTGTGCGGCCCTTCGCCGGACCCGCCGGGAGGCACTGGCATCGCAGATCGAAGGCCGAGGAGAAAGGAGCGAGAAGAGCGAAACGACGTCTCCTCGTGGGCGCTTCAGCTGGGACTTTCGAAGTCGGTCGCCGACGCCGCCTGCGACTATCTGGCCGGGTGGCTGTCGCAGCACGTTCAGAGGGGCGGTGCCAGGCGGGAGGCGGTAGTTGCGGCCTCGTTCTATGCCTGCAAGGCCGGTGGTATGCCGATGACGTCCTGCAAGCGGATGGCGAGTTTCGTAGAGGGACGCCGTGCGGGGGGCTATAGGGGGCGGCCCGCCCGGCCGGGAGACATCCTGCCCCGCTGCTGCAAGCGGATCATGGTAGGGCAGGTCGCCGCGACGAAGAGTCTCCTCTTACAATGCAGACAGCTGTGCGCCGACTTGAACGGGGTCGTGGCACTGCAAGGGAGGACGCCAGCGTCGCTCGCTGCAGCAGCAATTTGGAGCGTAGCCAAGAGGAGAGGCTTGAGCCCGAGCAAGAAGCAAATCAGTCTGGGCTGCGAGGTCTCCGTCGCTACTCTAGACAGGTGTTTGGTCATCTTGGAGGGTGCGGCACAGAAAAGTGCCCAGACATGGGAAAATCCGAGACAAGAGTGGTATGTGGTAAGAGTATGATGCATGAACCATGGATCGTAGTTACCGAATCGGAAAGGGCTACGGTCCAAATGACATAGCGCTGCGTGAGGGAGTACCACTCGAGCGCGATCATCGCTCAGAGCCTGGCTGAGCCTTGACTGCCAGGAATGCGCGAGCGGTTCCCATGTCAATCTTCTGCAAGCCCTTCCGCTGTCGTTCGTCGTAGACGCCAACCAGGTGATCGCGCAGCTTGGGCGAGCTCCCTTTGGCAGGGACGAGCGGCCTGCCGGAGCCCTTCTTGCAGGAACCCAGCATGCGGAAGCAGCGAAACTTGGTGTACACCCCGCTGTCCCAGATCCGCTCGGTCTTCCCGTTACGCTCGCAGTCCAGGAACGCGACGCTCTCTGCGAGCTCGCTGGAGGGGGGGTCCTGGAGGAAGCTCTCGAAGCACTCCTTGAATAGGCGGCGCTCTTCCTGGTTGGTTACATAGAAGCCCTCCAGCACCTCGTGCATGCTGTGCTTGTACTCGCCCTTAGATTCCCCATGTGCCGTGCTGGTCTGAAAAGTCAGGTCCGAGGCCGCCACGCCCAGAACCTCGGCACAGAAGGCCGCCCGGAGCTCAGCGAAGCGAGAGAGTCGCTCCGCGAAGCCGTTGTCATCACGCTGGGCGACCGAGTACTCGATGTCGAAGTAGAGGCGGGTGGGCAGCTCCGGGTATAGCACCTCGTACATGCTGCGCTCCACCCGGAACTCCGCCAGGTGATCGTCGTACTCCTGCAGCGCCGCCACGTCGGGGAAGGTGGTGTACCTCTTCGTGGCGGAATCCTCGCGCGCGTCGCCGGCGGCCAGGATTCGATGGCCGCGTGCCTGCAGGTACGCCCAAGCCCGCTGCTGGGCCCCCAGACCGGATGCGGGGCAGTCCCTGGAGAACCAGTGGGTGCCCAAGTCGACGGCGTCCGGAGCGTCCTGCAGGGATTTGAGCCAGTCAGAACGCGCCACGTGGCAGGATCCTAAGGGCTAGGGGCAAGCGGCCGGAAGGACGGCTCCAGACCAGCCGGGGCTGCGGAAGAAGCACTGGCGAATGACCTGCGAACTACATGCTGTCCTTCCCGTCAGCGGAGGGAACCAACTTTTCGCGCATACGATTTACAGCCATGCCAACCGGGATCCTGCCACGCCTCCTCGGATACACCCCATATCGCCTCGACTGTATTTTTCACAACTTCACTTTTGTTGGTTTTCGAGAGGACTGAAGGACAGAAAGTAATTCTCTTAGTGAATCTCTCAGTGCTTTAGAAAAATGGCCGACGTCCGCGGCTCGTCTTTTGCCGTCTGGATGAGACGAGAGGGAGAGGCTTAAGGAAACCTCGGGGTGACCGTCGAATCCCAAAAGGGGAGGGGGCGAGATGGACGTTCAGATAAAGGACCCTAAGGTGAAGGAAGCATATCTTGCTATCCTGAGAGCGAATAACACGCCCGGAGCGGCGCTCGCAGCTTCCGAAGATGGTCGAGAGACCGCTGAGTCGCTTCCAAAAGAGAACCGAACGGAGAGTTGCAGTTCGCCCTCGAAAGCACAATCCGAGTTTCAGGCAGCTGTTCATGACACTACGTTCTTGATAGAGAAGGAAAGGATCAAGCAGCGCGAGATCGATCTAGCAAAGAGAAAGACCAGGTACAGTTGAGTCAGACTACTCGTAGACAAGTAGGGAAGTAGTACTGGTGCACTACTTCCCTGCCAGTATACTGCCTAGCCTAGTCCGAAAAGCGAATTCAGGTCTCACCGTACGAACCTGCACGGGCCCGGGGTCTTTTTACGTTCCATTTTTGGACCGGGGTATGGCGAAAATCAATAAGGTTAAAAATCGCGGACCGGGACTCTTCGCAGACAAGTCCACGAATGACCTTCGGAATTCGACCGTGAGAATCCTTATTTTCCGGATCGCAAATTCGCAGCCTAGCTCAGCCCGGTCTCCTCTGCACTGATGGCGGTGAATTATGCAGGGTGCATACCCCCCGAGCTTCTGGAAAAGATAGTGGTGATGGTCCTGATGTCGGAGGAGACTAAGGATGCTTCCCCAGGGCTGATGGACCCGCCTGTCCCCGTCGCAGAGGAGGAGTCCATGCAGTTAGCAAAGCAGAGTGCTGCGAGCATGGCGCTGGTCTGCAAAGACTGGAAGGATGCCATGCGGTCGGTGGGCTGGAATGCCCTTCTCTCAAAAAGGCTCAAGGGGTCCGTCCCGTGCGTGCCGGCAGACGCCCTGTGGCTCCTGCGGCTGTTGCGTGGGCATGCTGGGGATACTATGAACGTGACGGAAGCGAGGGCGTATTTGAGGGTGACTTCGCGCGACCTGCAAGCTTACAGGGAGGCCCAGGGCTTTCCCAACGTCGTCGGGTTCCGCTACGATCTGGCGCTGTTGGTGGAAGTAGCCGCGGGGAAGCACGGCGGGGTGTCTGGTCTGCGGGCGTACATTTCCAGGCTGGAGGTGCGAGCGGCAGCGGCGGCGCGTGCGGCGCAGCGGAGGGAAGACGCTAGGGAGCGAGAGGTGCATAAGATCTTAAAGTCGTTCGACCCTCGAGTGTCGAAGTACGTGAACACCTTCGATTATGTGAAGTTGGGGCTAGGGAAGGCGGATGAGATCATCAGGCAGGCCGCCGGCATCCACAAGGACCTGAAGACAGCCGATGACATGGCGCGGGTGGCGCACGTGGACTTACGAAAGGATGACCTCTGCGACGTGTCCCTCGGTCTCTTTTTGAAAGGGGAAAAGAGCAAGTTGGAACTGGCGTGCGTCTTCATGAGGCGGATGGAGGTCGATGTCATCGGCATCCCGTCCAAATCGACTACGGACCACTCGCTGGTGCGGAGATACATAGAAAGAGGAGGCGATATATCGTTGCTGATCCGGTCCACGGGGCTCTCCAGCCACAGTGCCGCGGCGCGTGTACATAGGTTGACGGGCCATATGCATTCTGCAGACCTTTGATTTTGGTGCTTAAAGTTTATGTCCACAATGATCTGGTTATTTAGTGAATTGACTCTTTCAACGAAGTGTAACTCTCTTTTCGTGCAATCTGCGAAACAGTGTCCCTCTCTCTGCCAAGTACATGTAGGCCAAATACTGGTCGCATGAGTTCATGAGTCCGGTTCTTTGACGCCTATCGATCTCGGACACGTAATCGTCCAATCTTTCTTGGGTCTTATCATTTTTCGCCACAGGATGGTCCATGTGCTTTCGAAACGTGCATCATGTGCAACGAGTATCTCTCTGACACGATCCTTAGCGCGCTCGTCCATGAAGTACCGCACTGATTGTAACTCAAGAAACAAAATAATCAATATTACGCGATCCAAATGAAGTACTTGTGTTCATTGAAACTGCCACCCTGCAGGGTGCAATACATAAATCTCACTATCCTTCACAGTGAAATTTTCCATGTCTCCCTTTTCGGCACAATCGTTCCTGTAGGATTTAAGATAGCATCAACATACCTCACGGTGATGGATTTCTTCTGCAAGGGCTCACATACACTTTCATCATCGACAAAAAATAGCAAGTCACTCAACGCTTCTCTGCAGCGCTTCATTCGCATGAGGAGACAACGAGAGCGGTGGAGACTTTCGGAGGCATAACGGTAGAAGCTGAAGGTGCTTCAGGTGTTCACATGGACGTCAGTCAGAAGCTAAACACGTTGCTACAGGCAAGCAAAGACGTTCTGATTTCCTGGATAAGATAGTGAAGCATAATCAGAGAGCCGTACTGGACTCTGCGGTATGGTACAGGAAGAAGCACACAGAGATAATACTTGTTCGGAGTCCATAACAGAGGTAGCGAAACTGCATAGTACACAATGACTTTCTTTCATAGAACATATGTTGGGACTTGGTACGGTTCTAAAAGCCTGCTTTCTTCTGTTCTCGTGTATCCAGACGTTTCCAAAGAATGCCTACCCGTTGACGCCATCAATGTTCGTCCTGACAAAAACCTTCACTACACAAGACAAGAGAAGATAATGGTTACAACTCGGTGTCAGAGACGAATTGAGGTGAATTTTCCAGCGTCCCTCAGTTCCTGCAGTATGTTCTGCAAGGCATGATATCGTGCCAGAGCATCGGATGCACGTGACTCGTAGATTGCCATATGCTTTGTCACGGCCCTGCTCACGTTCGCATCATGGCACTCACGCCTGAGCCTCTCTGCCGTGGGCACTCTCAACTTGATATGCGGTATCGCGAGTATCTCCTCATCGAATGTCTTTGCTACAGACTCTTGGTGTGACCGTTTTAGAGAGTCGGTGGTGGTGTGAAACGACCTAAGGCGTTCCAGCCTTATTGCAAACTCATCGTGGTCGCGAGAATTTTGCTTATTGAGAGATGAAGTTCGAAAGCCGTGAGTCGGCGAATCCTGGTCGGTCAAGAGCCCCACGTCCATGTCACATCTATACCTGTCAGAAAATCACCATGAATGGCGCCGTTTGCCATGTCCTTGCCATCGAGCTGTGGACACACGAAACGTCCTGCAAGTTCCACTCACTCTTTCGCGAAAGGGCCCCAAGAGATTTAGGGTTTTTGACGAGAACTTTAGGCAATAGACTTACGGCCTTATTCCAACAGACTTGAGTTTCACCTGAGTTTGCCAAAACTCCGAAAAAGTGCGTTTCCTGCCTGAGTTTCGCCTGAGTTCGGTGCCACGTCGGATTTCCAAACTCAGGTCAAACTCCGGCGAAACTCAAGCTAGGGGCAAAAAACTCAGACGCCTCAAAAGCCCTCTGAGTTTCGCCTGAGTTTGAAGCCGCGCATTGATTGGCTGCGCGGAGCACATGTGATGCCACGGTGGCCGTAGCCACGGTCACGATCAATTCTGTACATCACAGTGTACCATAAGTGTACAGTTTTTTGCCAGAATCCGGACCCCGGTGAAACTCAGAAATTGTCCTTTTCCAAGAGTTGGGATTGCAAAAACATTTCCTTGCCATGTGACCGCTGAGTTGGACATACCGGCTACTTTGATTGGCTGCTAGTAAACCTGCAAACTCCGGTGAAACTCCGGTCAAACTCAGGTGAAACTCAGAAATTTCTGTTGGAATAAGGCCGTTACTCCCTGTTAGGGTTTGGATCTTGACACGAAAACCCTGACATGGAGGTCCGAACTTCAGAGTTTCGGTCAAAAATCGTCATTTAGCGCTACAACGCGGTAGATTAAATGGCTGCGAAGTTTGTTTTGGTGCCTCGACGCATTTTCAAGCTGCAAGGAGAGCTTGGATAGGCGCTTAAAAATGTATTGGATTGGGGGAAATGCTCAGCAGAGAGTAGACTTTGGGTTCACCAGAGAGACGCTCCACCTTCCTCAGATCGTCCGAGGGGGCACCTGGCAGTTATGTGGTCGTACTTTGGAGGCTGATCTGGTAAAGTACCATGGCAAAGACCTTGTGTTCAAGGCATTCTTTCAGGATCATGAAACAGCAGAGCAGGATATCATCAATCCACCATGCCCCTTGGAGTCATTCCTGGAGCCTTGTGAAAAGAGAAGTCGATCCAGGGCTGTGCTGGAGCATTATTTTCTCAAAACCTCTCCTGTCCTGGAGCTGGTCAAGCCTTTCCCTCTAAGTAAGGATATCCTGCCTGACATGCTCAAAGATCCCGAGAAGTCCTCGCTCAGCTTTATTGCAACTGACAAGGGGTTCTATACAAAGGCCCATGTAGATTTTACTGGCACTGTGGGTTGGATGGCGCTTCTCAGGGGTCAGAAGCAATGGAGTTTTTGGAATCCACACGGGCCTAACAAGGAGGCTTTCTTGGCAGCACTCAAAACAGGGGGGGAAATGCCAAAGCCTGACATTACGTTCGTTGCCAATGCGGGGGACCTTGTGATAGTTCCTGCTGGGTATGGACATGCTGTCAGCACCACCATGCATTCAGTGGGGATAGGAGGGTCTTGTTTCATCGCAGAGCAGAGCCTGGCGGGGTTGGGGGTGGCATTGAAAGCTGATGTGATAGCTCGCAGCTTGTCTGTCCAGGATGGGAAGAAAGAGGTCAACCGGCAGCGGTGTGGGATTGCTGCTGTCCTGGGAGTCAGCCTGCGGCAGCTCTCGGAGAAGGAAGCAGCCGTGGCCTCAGAAGCAGCAGCTGCAGGGGGGAGTGACTCTGCGGTGAAGGCAAGCAGGTTGTACCAGCACGTGCATGCACCTAAGAGGAGAAGGGGGAAGAGAAAGAAAACTTCTTTTTCTCAGCACAAGAGGGAGCATGTCAAATCCTGTACCCATCCAGAGCACGTGCCAGGGAAGAGCAGGCTGCTGAATAAGCGAGGTATCCGGGGCCTCTGGTATGGGGAGGAGGTGATCATGTGCGACCCGTGTTACAGGGCGTTTAAGAAGCAAGAAACACTTCATAGCATTGTAAAGCCAGGGCAGCAGATGTCAACATCCAGTTGACGGGAATCCCTGTACACTGAGGTAGGTGTCAGCTGCTGTAAGCCTCTATGGTAGCTTCAACCTTGCTTTTCTTCATCATCATCCCCCTTCTCTTCAACATACTTTCATCCCACTTTTCTCAGTTGTAACAAATGATTTTCTTCAGAAAACCTGAGCTTGACAATCGCCCGTCTTTGCTGCAGCTGGCGGACTTCGTTACCCTTGGAGTCCTCTGGCGTGAACCAAGCCACTCCGATGGACAGGCGAACCTAGTCAGAATCTATGAAGAAGTCAGGATGCATGCAGAACAGTGCAGTAAGTCGTGAGAATTGCCTCTTTGAGGCACTGCATGTAGATGTAGCCATGGTAGATATCCCATGCTTAGCCTGGATAGCGGGACTTTGTCTTACTTTATTCAGTGATTGATCCATCGGACGAAGAGCAAAGGCTTGCAGCGGTGACGACTTGTTCGAAAAGCATTCGAGATGAATGACATCAAGCATTTAATGCTGAAAGCACATCTGATAGCAGCAGACCTTGCTTCCAAACTGCCTAAACGATATGCTCCTACAGCTGCTCCTGTGTTGGCACAATTGCTTTTTTTTTGCCAACGGGCAAATAGTGAAAA